ATAATAATAATAATAATAATAATTATTATTATTATTATTATTATTATTATTATTAAACCAACTAGAAGAAGACATTTCCATTATATTTTCTAAAATAAGATAATGGTAATATTATAATGCTTTGTTGTTTCTGCTAGATATATCTCCAAACAACGAGGCGTAAAACACTACCGACATCAACAAGAAACAAGAACGCACCTTTGGCCTTAAATAACAAAATGTCTTCTGTTATCATGTCCAAATTGAAAATTATTTAGTCTGGCCAAATTACCGGACATGTCAGTAGCATATGCTGCTTTCCATTTTATCTGATAGAATATCCGTCAAATAGTCTGAAGTTTGATTTATTGCGTCTTGCGTTTCAAGTGCTTCTTTCAGACGTGATATATTTAATCTAAATATATTTGACATTCGGAAAGCGATGTCGGTGCTAGTCCAACATTTCATAATTTTGGATTAATTTGTTTCTGTTTATGCTTCATTTTATGATAGCTGTTCGTAAGCATTTTGTGTGAAGTACTACTGACGATTTAACTGGCTTTGCAAATACTATCCGGTTACACGAAACTTAAACAATGCTAGAAATACATTTTTCCATTCTGAAAATATTCATTGCGTAAAGTAAATATATTTAGGCCTAATATTATGAAATTAGATAATTTGCATTAAAAATGGTCCCCTCAGGTCAGCGTTCATAAATTAAACATTTAAATTCAAATTTTAAATTTTACAAATTCATATGTTAAGATAAATAAAACATTTAAAAGATATAATAAAAGTTTAAAAACATTTAAGTGGAAGAATGTGCGCTTCTTAGCCCGAATTTATCTAAAAAATCAAAGTCTTTACAATTTTGGGTCATTTTACACAAAAACACTGAACAAACAAACTGAGCAAATTATCTGAAAATTTGCACACGCGTTATTAATACATATTTTCATGCAATAGTACACACTTCTGAAATATATTGGAACTATCTTTAACTGACATATTTAGTTAAATACATTGTAATAATCAAAGTTTAAACTTTATTTTACTTTGCGATTTACATTTAGCTAGGTCGGTAGTATTATTCTTTGGTGCAATGTCCCTAAAAAGATTTAAAAAAAAAACACTTTTCATTTCCAGAATATATCGGTATAACATAAATTATACATTGTCTCAAGCAAGTTTGTTTTTAATATTTCATAATTACAGATCATTTTAAGGATATCTGGCGTATCATTTTAGTTATATTTCTGCAAAAGATCAGTGCATTGTTTATACCACCATAATCATAATTCATTGCACAAGACATAAGATATATTTTATAACGTAGGTCGTAGACATACTTTTTAAATGAATAAAATAAGTAAGCTGGAAAAATAATCAAACACAATCACAACCTAATAATATATGCTTTAACTGTAACATAAGTACAATGTATCAAACGTGATGAAATACGCAATAGAAACCTTATATTTTTCAGATCTATTTAAGTTGTTATCAGTTATAAGCTTGACAAATCTATTTATGTTGTAATCAATTAAGAGCAATCTCAATATAAACACGTAAGGGGATACCATCAATTAGCCTTGCAATGTCATGTCATGTCATATGTTATCTTGTACCTAGATTAACAGTCTGAAGTATGATTTATTGTGTTTTCGTGTTCATTCAGTACCTCTTTTGAGACTTTGGGCGATTAATCTTAATCCTTTCTTTCTTAAATTATCGTCCAATAAGATGTCTGCTGTTAAATCGTGCATAAAAGCATGTTAAATCAGTGATTTTTTCCATTTGTTTAGATTGAAAAATACCCGACATAGGAATATCGACAAAATGCCAATCTTCTCCATTCTTGAAGCACCTAAACTGTCTTATGATCTTTGTCAAAGGAAACGTAATACAAAGAGGTCCGAAAATGTAAAATTAAAAATAGCAATATTGATGAAGTAAAATAAATTACAAAATATTGAGTACCGAACATTTAAGAGTTCGTATTGATGTCTGATTGAACACCTACAATATGGCCTTATCATTATTCATATATTAAAATTAACTTAAGAAATATACATGGTCCATATAACATTTATATTTTGTAAGGTTATTTTTGGCAGGTGTTAAAAAGGTATAGGCGACAACACTCTATTTGGCGTAGGGTTCAACAGGTCGTTTATGTAAGTATAAGGAATATATTAAATAGAAAAATACCTGCAAAACACATGTTGACCGATGAGTTTACCAGTGAGCGTAACCATAAAAGTCACGTGATTACGTACGGTAAATATTAAACTAGCACATATACGTGTACAGAATGTTAAATAAAAAGTTCAATCTACATTTTCAATCAAATACGAAATGAAAGTATCCAGATCAACTACTATTTAACATTTATTTTAAAAAAATGTTCGTTAACATATTTCTTTATGTCAGCAAATATGAAAACTTAGAAAAACTGGAAATTATATAAGATATTCTAGATACTTCAATTGTATTTTAATGTGATCAAAGTATCAAGACATTTTACACTATTTTGATCATACCGGGTAATATTAATAACACCGAGAAAACAAGAATCAAATTGCACAATATAACTTGAAATGTCTTCAAAAATGAAACATTAAATCAGACATATCACGGTATATTCTTATAGGATCACATAAATGTACTTCTTCTTTTATTTCCTAGGGGACTTGGTACAAAACGAATGAAGGTTGATTTAGAAAATAATTTCTGAAATATTTATTTCCATAAATGATAAAGAAATGGTAATGGAATTCATTTGTGCAAATATGACTTTGCGTATTCTTCTGGGAAACACTAAGAATGGAACAAGTTTATTTTTTCTTTAACTTATCAATGATATATAGTTTTACAAAATGTGCAAAATGTTCAGAAATATTACCATTGTAAAAATAATAAATAAATAAATATATAAAAGCACCGACAAACAGTTTTCTTCTTTTTAAGCCATTTTTAAAAAAAAAAATTGTAAAAAAATTGTCTTAGGTTTATTAAAACAGCAACAGGCCAGTTAATGGAAAATTGCGTCAATTTTGACGTCCTCTTTGTCCCCTAACCTTGAGACGACTGAATCCTAAATGGTATGACGTGTGTTTATTTTTTCTGCGAATTTTATTATTGGCATGAAGTTTTAAAGTAATTAAAGTATTGGAATCAACATTTTGATGTAATTAGCTTCATTTTAATATGACATGTCAAAGATGTTTTTATTCTGATAGATTTCCCATAGGATAGAACCAAATCGTTAACATAATTGCTTTTAATTATTGGAAAACAAAAACATTTAAATAGAAATGTTTCGTGTTTGTATTGATCAAATTTATATTTACTTCATCAGGTCATGTAATTGCTTTGTATTGATGAATAGAAAAACGTTACATATTGAGAATATTTTATATCATTTCAGAAAGAAGAGAAGTTTAACTGGCCCGATTTGCGAATTTAAAATGTCGTCATGAATATAAAGTACTCCAAAGATTCTATGAACATTTGATTTTAATGACATGCATTTTAGTATACAATAATCCTAACATCAAATAGTGAAAATAAAAATCCCGAAAGAGAGGCCAACACGGCAAAATAAAAAATCAAGTCACATTGCCTATTTATGGTTTCAATGAAAAAGGAAATTGAAAAAGAATGATCTCTCGGAAGCATTAACCACAACAAAATTACATGGATATTGCAGACTCGGTTTGATTGAGTTTGTACACAAGGGATACAAAAATACAACATCCCTCATGTCTCTTAGCAATCTTTTGTGTATGTGCTGGCGTGTATACATGCGCGCGTGTGTTTTGGCCGCCAGAATTAAACATATTACTAAGATTAGTGACGCCTTTCCTGGACTATATCCGCGTCAGCGACGGAAGTTAATGCAGATTTACCAAAAGTGTTTCGTTTGCCCTGTGGTAATAAAGTTTTTTACTGGTTTCTTTCGGGTAAGTCACGAGAAGCAAACATAATTATCGTCCTCAATAAACCAGGATTGCTTGACCTTGACGTCCTGTGAACCACCTCCACGACAAGACTCTGAAGAGATTGAAGAAGCGTATCTTCTGAGTCAAGCTGTAACTGCCCTTAACATTTTTGAGTGATGAAAACGTAGTTACGTTAATGACAGTTCGTTAATTTCGTGAACAAATAAAGTAGATAAAGAAATATATTTGCAACTGTTATCATAGATTTCTTAATACTTTCATTAAGCATATTATACATGGTTGTATATGTTCTTAACTAAAATATTTTTACAATTTGTTCTCTTTGTTTTATTATAAACAAAACGGTATTGCAAGACAGAAGGAATTTATATTAAAGGTTCAAAGGTAACCTGAGCTGTCAGTAACTAGGAAACTTACAAAACTGTTTGTAATACAATAATAAATTATGAAGTGTCTGCACTGACAAGATTTGTTCATCACTTACTGTTAAATCAAGTAGCCTTTGAAATGTTGTGTTCGGAAACGTTTTATGATAAATTTAATGTGCTATTCTTAGTATTTATGTTTGTAAGATGACAGAGATTCTCTTTGCTTGCCTATTGGGAAAATTTACACTAATGTATGATAATTACGTGATGGTAAATTTCGTAGGAAATTCTACCTAATGTACCTAAAATATTGCACTTTGTATGTTGATATTTATCAAGATTTATGTTTGCATTATTAGTATGTAACGATGCTATTGTGATTTTAACACACAAAGAAGCTCAATTTAATGTTTAAAAACTATTCATAATGATTACTATCATTATAAAGATCGTTTGTGTTCAATATAACCTTTTAATATAGAAATAGACTTAAAATTGCTAGTATCTTAATAAAATAAAGGGATTTATTGCAATGAGTTTTTTCGATTATGAAATCAAGAGATTTTTTAGAAACATTTATTTCTTCTCACAATGGTATCATAGGCAATAGCAGATTTAGCAATATAAAAAGCAGTCTGATATAAATGCCCAATAACCAATAAGGTTCCTTCTGTTCTTAGAGCAGAATCACTCTGCTCTGTACACGGTGTTATATTGTCCGCTATATTGTTCCAATACTGTCAGTTATATAAACCGTGGATGTTGTATCAGAAATTAAATACAGTAACCGCTGATCTACTGAAACCATCGTAAAACGGTTTTAAAGAACAATGGACGGTCATGATTTAAGATAATTATGCTAGACATATTAAATTTGGATAAATTCGTTTTGGTTATTTCCTGTGCTCAGTGAACAACTGGATAATTAAAAGGTATTAAAACCAGCATGAAGATTTAAAAAGAATGTTAAAATGATAAGGATTGGAAGTACCAAATAAAACGAACATTATCATTTATTTAGATATTTTTTCTATATATTATCATTATCATAATATTAAAATATTGTATATGATCAAAATGGTTATATTGTTAGATTTACTATTAAAAGTCCAGCTAGTGAGCTTTTTAAAAGGTCAAGAATTGTACATATTGAATTATTGTGTTATTGTTTTATACAGGTATTTCATTTTTTTCTCTTTTTCGTATATATCCGTAACTATATTTTTATTTTAATTCATTCTTCTTCCGTAAATAATTATTTCATAAATTACATTTCGATTTTATTTTACTAATAGCATTATTTTAATTGGGCTGCATCAATAAACAATAAAATGTTTACTGACAAATATAAAGAGGTGGTGAAGTTATGTGCCGTGTTGGTTTACAATAATGAATAATTATAAGAACTTTATTATCTTACAAAATAATTATTGATATTTTTCATTTAAAAGTTTGCTTAGAAGATTACGTATTAAAATAAGAATAACTCTTAAATTCAGCTTATTAATAAGATACAACAGTAATTTTATGTTAAACATGTTCTTACGTTAGTTATTTCAATGGCACGTTCCAATGGAGTTAAGATACACTTATCACAAGTATGTCTACCTAAAGAATAACAGGAATACATACACTGTGTTAATAGGTAAAAGTAGTGGTTCCTTATTATAAAAGATATTGATATTGATCAATTTAACTTGGTGTGTAAAAAACAACAGAAATGTTGATTTGTAAATCTCGGAGATCATTTTTGTATTAAAATTAACTGCTGTTGTCATATGAAAATATTTTATGCCTAAAAATGCAAGTAAAATAAATTTAAACAACAGTTATGTTAAAATGTGATACTTTTTTCTTAAAATTTACGGTAAATAGATTCAATTTAACAGTTCTGAGAAACTATTTATCTACATTCAGTTTGACTGACAACAAGTTAAAGCTTTGAAATTATAGAATAGTTACAAAAGTGACTGACAGATTTGTTTACAGATTTTTTTTACAGTCATGTAATTAACATGATTGTGACAAACTTGTCGTTAAGGTAGTACTTTTTAACAATAACTAATTTTAATAAAAAATTTTCATGCATTTCAGCATCATTCACTAAACTTTGAATCACATAAAGTATTTGGTTTGCTGACGAGATATATTTGTGGTTAATATAGCCAGAATAAGATTAATTTAACTGAGGCGCGGGCTCTTTATCGTTTTTATGTCGCGGAATTTGGCTTCTGTTTGTACCGGATTTTTGTTTTGTTTTTGGTTTTTAAGTAAATATATATCCATATTCATACGGAAAAAAGAGGACGTTTAACGAGATAAGGGCTTTGAAAAAACTTGACAACAAAACATAAAATAAAATTTCAAGACATTTATTTGCATTATTTTAATCATTTATTACTCTTACGAGATGATTAAATTAAATACTTTGTCAATACATATACATCACACGAACGCGACGAAGACGTGTTCAACAGAAAAAAAAACGTTACATGTAATATACATAAAGTGGAACATCCTTAGGTCATTTTAAAAATATACATTCTTAGACGACGAGAATGTAGCCTTGTCAATTACAATTGGATTATTATCTGAATTGGTAACTGATAATATCATTAAAACTCCCTCAAGAGCACAATGATAGGAAATGAATGGCATGTCAAGGATTTTGACACATTAGACACTGTAAGTCAGGAAACTAGAAAGTACTTTAGGACACGATACGATGCATGGCATAACAGACAATGCATTCATAAACCCTTCGATGTATCAATAATATATGTAACATGTTTTTTTTTCTAATTTAACAAAATACAAGATGAAAGTGTTTCTTGCCGAAAAAATGATCATATTGAATAGTACAATGAATAGAACAATAATGTATGAGGATGATTAAAGAAAATGAAGAAATAAATCACCCGAGTATAAGTACATGTATATATTAAAAGAAACGTTAAATGTTTTCTTTCTTATAAGGACTTAAAAATAAATATAACTGATATCATAATATTGCTTCAATAAATATGAATGAATTTGTAGTACTGTATTTCCTTCACTTTCTGTGAAATAAGTTCCCTAAATCAGCTATATCGTGAAGTTAAAAACGTTTCTATTGACACTTAGAGGGCATCTGGATGCCTTTTTGTCTTTCTAACGCCTAATGTTTCGTAAATACAAGTTATGCCAATCCTAGGTTACGATACTAAACTATTTTAAGAAGCTTGATGACATTGACAGTGCACTAAGGTGAGGTTACATTTTGTAAATCATAGAAAATGCTCAATGTTTGTTACAATGTCAACAAAATTGTCAACAAAATATGAATAACCAACAAATGCTAAAGATATTCTTAATTTAATAAAATATCATTGAAACGGGTTTGTCTGATGTTTTAGAAAACATTTGTGTCTTTGCTTAACACAGCAAATGCCACGTAATAACATTTAATGTATATTAGATATCAAAGTATTTTTTTAAAATTATTTTACATCTCTCACGTTTGGTCTGAGAAAGTATTTTCCTGATAACAATCACATTTACAAAATATGCCTGTTTTAATTTAGAAAAAAAGTTCAAAAGTGAATTTTCTGAATTTGTTAAAGTCCCGGGAATTATAAATTAATTGATACCACTTTGTTCCATATTTTATTTGAAATTTTATGTGCATATTTATTTTGTACAAACATGTTCAACATTAGATAGAATAATCATATAAATAGTAGAACAATACTGCATATGAATGGAGAAGTGTACATAAATGATTTGGAAACGCAAAAAAAGTATTGTTTACACTTAATAATAAATTAATATTTTCTTACTAAAAAGGAGACAACCCGGATTTATAAATTGATATCGTTATATCACTCCGATAAGTTCTCTTAATGAATCTGTTGAACTTTATTGTCTGTTTTTTCTGAGAAATATTTCCTTACAACTTCTTTATCTTAAGGTTAAGAACGTGTCTGTTGACACTTGAAAGGCATCTGTGTAACTTTTTGCCATAAAAGCACTTAATGGTAAAAGTGCGCGTTATGACAATCCTTAAAAAGATTATTATTCAACTGTGTTTTAAATGCCTGGTTATCAATGAAATATGAATAATTAAGAATATAGACAGTGATTATTTGAATATCAATTACGAGTAGTCTGAGGAATGCTAATGCCTTTAATATATGAAATAAAACTTACTTCATTTAAGATAGCAAATAACACGTCAAGACATATTATGCACCTTTAATACAGTCAATCAGTTTTAGTATGATTTGGCCGACAAAGATTTTCCTGTCAACAACCACCAACCACATTTACAAAATATAAAAAAACAACATTTTTTTTATTTTGTAGATTCCTTTTAGCCCTGAGAAATGACACTTTCTGCTTCATTACATTTTTCTTTCAATCTTTTTTCCGGCTTATAAATTTGAAAGAGTTTAACGAGGGCATTGGATTACATTGTTGGAAATAAATGATTTTAACAGACACTGTTCTTGAAAATGAAAATGCTGGGTACTTAATTAAACAAAATAAATTCACAAACAGTATTGCTATCGTGTTCACTCAAAATACATTAAATTACGTTCATTCAAAAAAGATGTTAATCAAACAGAAAAGACGTACAGTATTCAGCCGAACGCTTACATTGTTATCAGATTTGTATGGTATGAAACTATTTGGAGATCTGCACCAAGCTGCATACATTATCTGAATAGTAATTGGACATAATAAATGATTTAGATATACTACTTTTATTTCCTTATTTAGCTTTATTTCTATGAGTTTAAGACATACATTTTTAATTTGATATTTTTTAAAGAAGGTACAATTTGAATATAATGTGTATAAACTCTTTGTTGCAGTTTTGTTAGTTACTCTTTTTACTTAAATAAACATGCTCTGACTTAAGTGTCTGAAAGAAGAAATGTCATGAGCATATCAAAGCCAAAATGAAGATAAAAATGTACCTTAATTTTGTCCGAATTGAATTCTTTTATTTGATTTTTTTGCCATAAAGAGATGTTCGTGCACTGTCTTATCTCCGTTTGGTATAGGGTGTACACTGTAACCCGTTTGTCTATGTTGTATGTACTAAGATGACTAGAGATCTGATAATTAACTTTGGGAATTCGGCATTTGTCTGAAAGTCAGGGATACAATCGGTTTATTCTTTGCTCTTTAATAAATTTTGCATCGATTTGTTTCCTTTTTTTCCAAATGTCAGACAATCGTCAAAGCGTTTTACAACATTTTACGCCTTGAATATAACGATATATGCTGCTAAATGATCGAAATAAAGTCCACACTTTTTAGTGCAATACAAAAAGAAAAAATACAATCCGCTTTAGCTAACGCTTTTTGAGTTGTACGATAACTTTTGCTGTGCATTTTGATTAGTAGAAATTGAAAGATAAATAAAATATTTCAGTAATATAAAGAATATCATTTATCTAAAGTCATTTATTAATAATAATATTGTAAAACGATTTTCTAATGATTTAACGAATGCATGACAAAAATATAAAGAAAAAAATTCTTTGTCATAGTTATATTCTGTATTCTAAATACTACTAAAAATCGAAACAGAATTTACTTCAGAATCTAATGGTTGATGTGAAAATGTATTTCAATTGACGTTTTTTTATGGAAGTTTACCCCCTAAAATAAGTACAACATTTATGTTATCACTGATTTCCCGTGATTTCATAGAGTATATTACTTTAGTAGCGAGAATGGTATTTTAATAATGTGTTTGAAACTATTACATACTTACTATAACTATAACATACTTTATTAATTTACCTTATAACGACAAGTGATGCTGGCAGGGTCGAGTGGTAAACGTGTCGCTCCATAATCTAAGGATTCCTGGCCGTGAAGATTCGAGTCCCGTCTGAGGCAAGCGGTTGTTTCCGTGAGCATGAAACTTTACACCAATTGCTTAGTACTGGTTGCACAAATTCGAGAATGTTTCAATAAGATTATAGCTTCCAAGACAATTCAACTAATTTAAATATAGATTATTATAAGCGAAACTAATGATGATGATAGACCACCGTATATATTAAGGTAAGGACAATACATCTTACAGTTTAAAATATAACTGAAAAAATACTGTTACAACATAAATGTACTTGAGATTTAATTCTCTTATATCTTGGCAAATAAAACAGCATTATGATGAAAAATTGTATATTTATCTATCTTCTTCTGTCACGTGAAAAGATATATGATATTTAAATGTTATTACAATAATAAATAGTACCCAACAGTTTATATTTAATCTTTTTACACAAACTTATGTGTTTTTTTAATCTAATATATAAACCCATTCAATTAATTTGATCAAATATCTCGATCTTTTATCAATTATCTAGTTCATTACAAGAATATGTAGATCCCCTTAGAGCAATAAAAAAGCTATTAATGAATACATTGTTGTCGGATTCAATCTATTTATAATCAACTGCTGAGATTGTAAAAGACCTGTAGTCTCTGTAAATAGAGTATTAACCAAACATGATGTTTAAAAGTAAAACTGATGACCAATAAATTTGCGTCATATAACAACTGGTGTTCCACAAACTCGCAATTTAACATATATAAATGCTTCAAATAATTCCAGCAAAAAAGGGGAAAAATCAATCGTCGCATTTTAATAAAGCAATTAATTTATGCTATACGATTTTAAAGATAAAATGTTTTTAAATCATTAAAAATTGTTTGTTTTCTAAACATTATTGTGTCACTTCCTCTATAACTAAGAAGCTTCCATAATCGAATCTTTACTTTGCCGTGTCAAGAAAAACTCTTAAAGCTAAAGTTATCATGTTAAATAATATCACCTTTAAGTTATATAAAAGGACATAATGATACTTAAGAGTCTTTTTGTTAGTGATTTTCTATGAACATTAGTCACTCATTAACATTTATATGTACCGCCTCCGTGGTCGAGGGGTAAGAGTCGATGACTTCTAATCCAGTTATCTCTCTGGCGTGGGTTCGATCCCCGGGAGATGCTTTGGTAATTTAGCGAGGAGGAAGGTAGTCTAATACTGGTGTAACTCTCCAGAAACGATGGTTAGGAAACTACCCGTCTATATGACTGAAATACTGTTGGGAAAAGGCGTAAAATGAAACAAACAAACAAAACAAATTAACGTTTAGTACAAGACGGTAATTTCGTTTGCTTGTGTGATTAATAATGAAGCAACACATAAGTCAATTTCAGTTTGCCGTTTTATATTGACATATCATGACTCCTTTTTTAAATTTGATATCTAACCATGCTTCGAACGCACTGTAAATGTAAAATGATTGCAGGACAAATACAATTTTAAAATTTTATTCTTTTATAAGACATGCAAAGATAATGATATTTTCAAAGGTCAAACTTTATCATCTACTGTTTAGCAATATGACTTGTGATTTCGAATACATTGCCTCTTCTGTATATATCATTAAAAATGAATTAATTTCTAAAATATGATCACTGATTGTTTAGAAACAAATGACTTTTAAGAAAATGATTGCCCGACTGATATTACACAGGAACAACAAGAAGTAAACCAAATTTGTTCACTATAAAAACAAAGATTTTATAAAAAAAACAAATACACTGAGATTCCATATACCTTCATCGATTTGGAAATTTTAGGAAACATAAATATGATATACATTTGAGATGGTGCCTTATCACTTTGAAACTTACGTTAACAAAGCAAGTTTGCTCCGCTGGATTGATAATAAATCATACTGATAAGATTATGTTGAAAGTTTCAGTGCCCTTGTGCAATCTTTATATGACGATGAACTGTTCATGGTCCTGTTTCAAAATCATTGTTATCATTATTACTATCGAACTGTACAAGTGTAGTCGATTTCTAAATAACATAGTTAATTGTGATGATGTACCTTTCTACCAGCTCAGTTTCATCTCTAACACCAAAAAGACTGGTAACAAACAATGATTATCCTCAATCGATTTGTGTTAAAAATCTATTTCTTTGTTTTCCCCCTCTTCTTCTAGATTTATATCAAAATAGCATAAAGTAATTCAGAATATATCTCGTTATCTAAATGAAAGTCTATACATTTATTTAATCTTGTTATGAGGCACATGGGCTTTAATTACAATTACACATTATGTTATGCGGAAATAGGATTGTATAGATCCATCTATTAATATATCCAAGGGAATTATAGGTCATCAAAGATAATATATTTAATACAATTGGTGGTTATAGGATTTGTTTAACTAACTCAGGAGTGAAAATAGATTTTGCAAACATTTTATTGTGATTGTCAATACTTAATTCAAAAAGATAGATATTTTCAAGGAAGCGAAGGCGTATAAGTTAAAAATATTTTACGTCTATCTTTCTTTATAAGATAAAAAAAAAGATATTTTGAAAAGGAAAAGAGTCTGCGGGTATCATTATCGTACAAGGGTGCTGGTAGGTATTATTTTGTACCTAAAGGTAAACAGCTATAATTAAATTTAAATCTTGTAACTTTGTGAATGACACATTTCAGTTTAGAAATCGTAGAAAACTGTCATTTTTGGATCATTTTATTTTAATGAATCACTGGCATATTCAAATTTGATTTATGTACTCTGTATAAATATGCACTACAGCATTTTTCTTCCCATCGTTTGAAGTCAACATTAAGGAATCAATGCATTTTTTGCGTTCTTTCCAAATATTTCTGGTTGATTTATTCATGTTTCAACAATGTTTTATTAATTTTAAATCTCGGCAAATAAAATGCTCTTTAATGCTTTTAAAAGGATATTCATTTATTATAATTTCATACAAATTCTACTGAAAATGGGTTCGTGTTCATTAATATTCATTTCAATTTAAGAAATGGAAATATTAATGTACACTCTCCTAAAATTAGACTGATGTTCACGTTTGGGTGGCTTTGCTGCAGGGTATTATGGTGTCTGTCGAGGTGAAGGAGGTGCTGATCTAGGGGTATTTTCTGTCATCGTCGTTCTCCCTTGTTTTTCTTATTTTCTCATAATGGTAGGACTATCCTATTCTAAAAAAAGTGTTTTTGTGTGTATTTTTTTGAATAGCAACAAATCTCATACGAATATAAAAGTATTTTATGACTGTCCCTCAGAACGGAGAGTTTTTATTAATTTCTAAAAGCACTCGTAAGTACGAATACACCTTTAAAGTGAGTATTGTTGTCATATCAAATGTAATACGCTTTAAGGTGTTAAAGTGAAACTGTCTGATAGTAAACATTTTACATGATACTCGTTCAATGCGCTTCTTAGTCCGTTTATTTGCAAAGATCGTGTAACATTCGTTCCATAATAATTATGTTTCATTTTGTATACATGTGTACAGCCTTATTATGTTGGAATTGTACATTTCATCTTTGGCGTACCATTTGACACGTGTCTTATTTTCACAGACAATTTTCTTATCAATGATCTTTTAAGTTCCTTTCGAAATCTGACAAATCCTGTTATCTTATATATTGATTCTATAAGAAACCTTTATGGATTCGAAACGGAAATTATTTGATAATCTACAAAGTACGCTTCCTGAATAAAGCCACTTACTTCCGTCTCAGATGGATGATTAAACTATTTATTAAATAAATAAAGATAGCTTGTCCAATTAAATGGTTGAGCTATATATTTTGAATTTAGCTTAATATTAAAAAATTATATATAAAACGAGCATGTAAATAGTGGTGTATTATAAATTGAAATGAAATTTCAATAACTTGTCATTTGTCATTCACTAACTTTACTGCTATTTTTTTGTTGTTCAAAAATTATATTAATAGCATTAAATGATAGCAATAAATCAAAAACCTAATAATCAAACAGTGAAATGATACAGTTACAATAAAGTATAAAACAGTGATAAAAAACTGTTTCAATAAAATTGGCAATATACTAATAGTAGCCTTTTTTCAAATAAGATAGACACACTATGTCGTACTTTACGACGAATTGAATAAACTATTGAAAAAGTGTGTACATGTCTGATTTTTTTTAATATAAGTATCTTCGTAACAAATGTTAAGCATTGATAACCAAAGCGTCTACATTTTGGCGATAGATGATAGAATGTGAGTGACATACACAATCGAATTGTTTTTTGGGTCATTTACACTCGTCGCGTAATTTACATAGTTTTTCACTTTGAAAGTCTTAGATATAAATAATAGTGTCCAATGGATGTTTGATGAACATATTGAAACACCATTGTCTGTAGCAAGATATATTGGAAGGATTTAAATTATTATTCTTACCCTACCAGATTCTGTATTTATTTGTTAAACAGTGGTAACGGAGAAAGGACCAGGAAAAGACACACCAAATTATCAACGGATACTTTGTGAAGTTATGAAATATAAACTTCGTGTTTTTAACAGTTTCACTTTGTAATGTTTTAGAATCTTGTACTTGTGTTTTAATTATAAACAATAATTAAACTTAAGTTTTAAATTATAAAGAACTTGATACCTTAAACACCATCTTATGACACATAATGAAGCAAACGAATTGGAATAGGATAATGCATATCAAAACTTATATAAATAAATATATACAAAACTTTGATAAAATGTGCAGAATATGCCATCGATGACAAGCATGTAAGATATCAATGTTATCGTGTTTTTCATTGTAAGAACGATAAATATGTCGACGGAATAGGGCCCTTTTGTTATGATATTTTGACATTGTTTTTTTCCTGTACTGAAATAACTGAAATAAGTGTTACAGAGAAAGATTGCAATCACTGCCATGTTAAAAAATATTTATAATATCAAATGTCTTTGTCTTTATATATTTCAGTCTATGATGAATAACAGCTCGCGCGGGAGTGACGAAATGACGTCCACAATGTACAGAAATTTGGAAGCCTACGCTTTGGCGTATTGGTACATGCATCCATATATCAGCCTGGTAATTTGTACGTTCGGGATTTCCACAAACATCGTCAACATCGTAATCTTATGCCAGAAGAAGATGATTAATTCAATAAACTGTATTCTCACTGGGATAGCAATCTCTGATATTTTAACGATGCTTGACTATGTGCCGTATGCAATGCACTATTACCTTCTGACGGATCTAAGTAAGTCAAACGAAACATTTACATTAGATAGTGTATACATAAAAGTCGGAAATCATTGAACAATCTTCATAGATTTATGTTTTTGATAAGACAAATTTTGTACGACATTTCATTAATATGTATGTGTTAAAGTATGTTATCTTTTGCGGTGGTCTTCTACATATTGCATTCATATCACCTTTATTAACTTTAATTTGCAAAAAATGTGTAAAATTTAATTAGAAAAAGGATGAAATATTTTATTCTGCTTCTCTTTCCTTTTTATTATATACTTATAAATGAGATATTGAGAAATATTGATGAAATAAAATGCGTGTTTTTATTCTCCGTATTTTCACTGTAAAGATTTATTTTTCAATGCAGTGAAACATATTTTTCCGTATTTTTACTGGTGTCATGTCGTACTACAAATGTACTTTGTTTTCTAAATTCTGCCATAACACAAAAGTTAAGGGATTATAATGCCAAAAAAGAAGAATAATTATAAACAGAAAGTTCAAGTTTTTTTCTATAAATACTGGATTTATTTTCTTCTTGTTGTATGAAAATTATGAAATTTCACCGGTGGCTACCGTCACTCATGAAATATTTAATTTCATACTACTCACTGAAAATGAATCCTGTATTTATAGAAAAAAAACGGAATATCCTCTCAATCTTTATCAGAAGCAAAAATGGAAAATGTATATTTTATGACGTATATTTTTCATTATTTCATATTATAATGTCGTTTTCTGTTACAGACGACCGGCTTAAGAGATACACGTACGGGTGGAGTCATTATTTAGCTGTCCATTCCTGTTTGAGTATAACAACTCATACTGTATCACTTTGGTTAGCCGTTCTCATGTCGGCGATAAGGTAGGATAAATTAATTCTTGAAATCATTTTAGTTTGTTTTTATCTGTCTAGATGCCTTAATTGAAAGAATCCAAAGTCCCTTACGGGAAAAACCCATAGCGGTGAGAGGCAAGTGGTTTGAAGTAAACGAGCTTAACCACTTCGCCTCGAAGCACTTGAATTTAAGTAAAGTTCCATGTATGAATAGGACAGAATATTCTTACAAGTTAACTATGTTGAAATAAAAAAGCGGTTGAACAATTTGTATTACAGCCTTGACAATTTTGTTTTTTTTAATGAATTTTGAAAATAACATTATAACCACAAAAACATTATTACAATTAAAATGTATTAAAATGTAAGGTAGGATAACTAAATTCTTTAAATCATTTTAGTTTGTTTTTATCTGTCTAGCTGCCTAAACTGAAAGAATCCAAAGTCCCTTTCGGGAAAAAACCCCCTAGCGGTAAGAGGCAAGTGGTTTGAATTAATCAAGCTTAACCACTTCGCATGTAACGCACTTAATTTTGAGTAAAGTTCCATGTATGAATAGGGCAGAATATGCTCACAAGTAAATCATGTTGTAGTAAAAAAAAGCGGTTGAACAATTTGTAATACAGCCTTGACAATTATGTTTGGTTTTTTCTAATGAGCAACTTACATAACAACATTTAAAAATAAAATTATAACCAACCACAAAAACATCTTATTCTGTACATTAGATTACGTTGAAGTCGGAATGTTATTTTTCGTAAATCTTTATTACAATTAAAATGCATTAAAATGTATGTTTTCCTTTCATAGTAATCAATAAAATGTTGTTGTACATTTAACTCTGGGCAATCAACAAAATAGAGATAAAAATTCCAAGTTTCCCCGGGAATATGACTTGACTAAGACTCTTCAATTTTGACATTTATGTTATGCTTTTCAGTCAGATACACTAAAGAAAAGCAATCATAATATTAAAAATCTTACATTTGCATCATATATATTCAACACGAATGAGCGGTCTTTAAGATTCATGCAAGGTTTATCTATGTCTACGCAATTATGAAATTTCTTTAAGATGAATAAGACCTTTTGCAATTTAGTTCAATATAGATCTCATTCGAAAATGTTTGTTCTGCTTTGTTTTAAACATTTCTGTTTCCCATATGTTGGTGTATTGACAAGTTGCCGTTGGAGAACATTAATTTCAAAATCGTAACGGTAAATACAGTATCGCATTTCATCCCACACAATTTTATAAAATAAGACGTTGTTTACAAATGCCGCTTTTGCACTTGAAAGTCAAGGAAAAGTCGGACATATTTCATTTGCATCACCACAATGCTTATGGATTAATATTACTTTGAAATGGTAATGCCTACTTAATGTCAGAATTTATAATCTACATTTATATGAAAATGTAAAAATGTAAATGGTTTTGCTCTCGGCATTAATGAAAATAAACATGTACGTAAAAAACCTTTTTGAAACATTGGCAATGACTTTAACCAATGCTTGTTAAAGGGAATTTGAACATGCAATTTATTGAATCTGATATCAATTTGATTTGAGTAATTTTATACTTCCTTTTATATTTCAAACTTTTTACCAGAACTTAAGCATTTGTTCATTGTTTTTAAAGTAAGGGTTTGTTAGCAAATTGCAAAGTGAAGTAATCAAATCAATAAATTGACGTTCTTACCTTCACATGTTTTGTCTTCCTTTTCAGATACTTTTTTATCCGCTCAAGGGGACGCTGGAACATGAGTGTAACACGTACCAGAGCTGCAATCGTTGGTGTTTATATAGCTTCAATCATTGTGTCGGTTCCAAACTACGTTGTTACAGATGTTATACCAGTACCAGTACCTTCTCATAACGCAACAATCTACAGAATAAAAAATCTCCAGATTTATTTGAAAAACTCAACGACTATGAACGCCATAAATGTTTGGCTATTCATCTTAGTTGGAAAAGTATTGCCTTGTGTTTTAATTTGTGTCTTCGGTTTCTTTTTGCTAAAAACATTGCGTGAAAGTCAACAACTCAGCGAGTCATTAAAGCTTACGGCTACATCGAGAAGAATGCGTGCGCATAAAAGAACAACTGTTATGCTTTTGGCCATCATTACAATGTTTATTATATCAGAGCTGCCAGCGGCTATTCTTGTCCTAATCTCAGTGTTTAAAGAGAAGTTCTTCATGGATTATTACATGTTGTTTGCCGATACCCTTGACATATTGTCTCTGACAAATAACGCGATCAATTTCATAATGTACTGCATAATGAGCAGACAATTTAGAGACTGTCTATGTGAAAACCTACCAGTTTGTTCCACAACTTACAGCAAATATCATTCTGCAAAGACTTCGGAGGGTATTGTCAATACTAGAACGGTAAATACGGCTAATGTCGGCCAAAAAGATAGAAGCCTTTGACTTTGAGAATTGAAATTGCTTTAAACAACATATTTGTACAATTTATACCTTGGCATAACTATTCTAATTTTAATGTGCAGCTATCACAAGTTCTGTTTATTTACATAATTATATTACCTTCATAAGGAAATGTATTCATATCATAATCAGCTTTACTCATGCTTACAAACTATGTATTATATGAACTTTGTTTGTTGGATACATAAATCATATGTAAGTAAACATTTGCACTCATTTTGTAAGCTATGTTCAAAACACTATAAACTTACGCAATGCCCTATATGTAGATGTTTTAATTCATAATTGTATTATCATTAAATATCACATGAGTTACAATTCTTTCTTATACATATTGTCTTGGCCTCACTATGATCAAATATTGTATAAGCATATTATAAAGAGGCAGTATTGCTGCATCTTTGTATAATAATAAAATATCAATGCTTTTATATATAACTCCCTGCGAGTCATCAAAAGACTTTTTATACTGAACAACTATCATTTAAAGAAATTCAAGAATTCATATGTAGTTTCAAAATTAAAGTTCAAGATACAAGTTCATGACAAATGTTGAATTCTGTTTAAGCCGGTGCTAACGGGCTTGAACGGTAGCTTCAAATTACCTCTGTATGAACAGGCTTAATTAAACCAGAGTCAACAAAAAGTAGAAAACAACGATAACAACATCATATTAAAAACTTGTGCCAGACCTTTCATTAAGGGTGTCCGTGGCCGAGTGGGTATAGTTGTGACTTCTTAACACTTGTCTTACACCGCTGTAAGTTTGAGCCGCGCAAGTCTCGTCTGATTTTGCATGTGAGATTGCTATCCGTCTAATTTTTGCAACGTCGGTGTTTGAGCCTGAAGTGCCTCACACAGGTGCACCTGAGGTCTTCTTTCAACGTTTAAGCTAGAAAGTCGCTATATGACCTATACGGTGTTGGTGCGAAGCCAACCGCAACCAAAAAAAGTCAGACCTTGTAAGATTTCTGTGTTAAATCTAAATACAATTAGCATCGTTTCTTATCCCTTTTTAATACATTTAATTAATTTTTACACTCAATTTTCTAGAAAGAAATTTTCTACGGGAATATTTACTTGCTACTTTTGAACAATATAATTATGAGTTAATTTTTAATAGTTTTTGCGACCTTGCGTTTTATGTTCTGAATCAGGATCCTATGAAATTGAACATTCTTTAGATAACATTTTCTCCCTCGAGAATTAAAACATGTGTCTTTCTGCTTGAGGAAGTTCAAATATATATTAAGTTTAAAATGTAAATGGAAATTTACACCAGAACTGGAGGGGGACTTTATCTATTATCTATATTGTTATAGTTCAACTGACTGTTAACACACACCAAACAAAGAAAATGTGTTTTGTAAAAAAAACGTTAAATAGAATTTCTATTTTAGGCCATACAAACGAGGTTATTTCAATTTTTAAGTTTCTTTTTCAACTTTGTGTGGGTTGCGTAGTATTTTTAAGTAACTGTTATAAAAACTGTTTCAAGGGAATAATATGGTGTTTCTTTTGGATTTAAAATCAAACAAAAATATTAATTCCTGTTGTATAGGCCACGGTTTTAAGACTTATCGTGAACAAAGTGTGTCTAAATAAATCGTGTTGTCATATTAACGTGATTTCAATAATCTTATTCAGACACTTTCATTTACATTCAATAAGCTTCTAAAATTACCACTTTCGAAAAGAATTCAAACAGTTCATGATGCTTTCTCCTGAATATTTCTTCATTTATTGCATAATAAATGAAATAAGTATCCCATGACTGAAATCAATTCTGTATAAACCGAAGCAAATAAGGTACCTTAATTGGTAAATACATTTTTATCTAAAATTGTGTCATAAGAACTTCGTACAATTTATTGTACCCATTGTACCCAGGTTTAACACAATAAAACGCTTGACCTTTATCTGTTTAGTACTAAGATCACGTCCAATTGTATTAAATATCTTATAATTTAGTTTGGGAATTCGATAAACACCTGAAAGTCAGAAACTAGTTTTATGCTTTGCTCTTAAATTAATTTTGGATCGATTGTTGTTTATTCTTTTCCAAAATGTCAGTCAATCGCCGAAGTGTATTAAACATTTAACGCATAAGAGATAGTGATACATATTTCAAATCGTGATATTATACGCCAGTGTTTAAATGAATTCATTAAAATACATCGAAAGGTTTCTTTAATTATTTCAGTTGAATTAACGCACATGTTAAGTGCAAAAAATGTATATTTATTATCAAACATTATTGACCATTTTAGCTAACTAAATATAGTATACGACCAGCATTTTGTTTGATCTTGTAAGAATTAAATACATATTTGCATTTGACTGTGTCAATTAAACAAGGTAATTGATGAAGAAATTGATAGTACCTGTCATGTGTTGCAGTTCTCATCCAAGTACATGTCCCGAGGTAACCATCCCATTAGGCAGTAGCGAAGCTTGCCGGGCAGTACCCGAGGAAGGAATATTTCGGTCCGAACCGCAAATACAAGTCCGATTTAGGTTATTTCATAGCGTACTATATATTCTACCCTATTTTAAATGGTTTACTTCAATTACTTATTTTCATGTTGTTTTGTTTTGTGTTTGTTTTTTCTTTTAATTTTCATCCGTAACTATTTGTCACAGTAGCGTATGAATAAAAAACTGTCAATGGCGAAACATATGTCATATAAAGAACGCAGTTTGATTATAAAAGTCACAATAACGTCATTTTGGAGCACAAGACTCATCTATTTGTTATGAAAGTAATACAAACATTAGCGCCCCTTACAGTAATAAAAGGATCAACGAATAACGTTTTGTCGGTTACAATCAACATGTTATTAATTGCAAATAGTAGAGAGACAGCATAATTTGTATAATTATGTCAGTGTTATATATTTTGTAATTGTCCGTTACCCTTATCCACTTTCTATTAACGTTTATATGTAGTCCACCTTGATTTTTTGTGTAAAAAGTGTATATTAAAATACTATAATTTATTGCTTCTAACAAATTGCCATCTCAGCATGCTTCAAACGTACATACCAAAATTGCGGGGCGAATATAAGTTTTGAATTTCTTCCTTAAAAAAGTGTTATCTTAAACTCAAGGGCAAGACATCATCATTTGGTTTGGGACAAAATATTTAGTTACCGGTACTTCTCTATGATATGTTAAAACTTGAAAAATAAAAATTGAATACTGACTCTGTAGAAACAAGGACCTTTTAAGGTGGCTCTGATATATTCATAACAGGAAATTAAATGTCAGAGATGACACATTATCTATAATGTTAAGCGCGAAAACTGATTGTCTTGATGTCATTCTAGACATTGAAAGCGTTATAAAATAGCTTTTACATGATTGGTAATAGAAAGAGCATCCGGACACGAGGCAATCTGATTTGTTCGAGGTGGCGTAGCCCCAGACTATAAATCAGATTGACGAGTGTTTTGAATTTTTCTCTCTTTTGTATTAAAGGCAAAAATAAAAACACGTCTCCTGTTGTCAAGTAATGAAACTAATACCTGCACACCAGTTAACGCACTGTGCATGTAAACGTATACGTTTTAATTCCGACACAAAAGTCCCCAAACTATGATATGATATGACTTTTGTTACACAGGGACAAAGAAGTAACCCCGTTACAGTAGAGATACAAACATTAAACTAAAGAGTGAGATATACATTAAGATAACATTATTTTTACATACCGTATGGTAAGTTTGACTCCTTGATATGTAAAAGTTTAAAATCCGGAAGAGTGATTCCTCGAAACAAAATTATATGAAAATTGCACATTCGGTTCGACTGAGTCTGTAAATGAGAGATGTAAAAAGTGCAAAATCTCTCACGCCGTAGCACCGGTGTGAGCGGTATTCAATCTGCAAACGGAAAAGTGTTGGAATCAATTATCCCGAGCCAAACAATGTAACAATACTGAAGTGAATTAAAGAGCAGCTTTTTACAGATGCCATGCTGCACTTGGCATCGGGCAGCGTAAACACTGGTGATGATAAAAACGATATTTGCTTCTGCTAAAAGTGCCGTTGCCGTTTTATATGATAATAAATGTACATAAAAGTATATTATTGCTACATGATAAAACAAAACGAATATTCTGTTACCGTTTCAAAAATATTAATCTATCAATCTTTAAAAATGTAGACGATTTATAAATAACACATTGATTATGGTTTCAACAGGGCTGCTAATAGGAGATGGAAATTATTTATCAGTATTCAAAATAGAGAAAGTAAGAATACCACCAGAAAACCCAAAACGACAAAATTGAAAATGTTGCAGACTCTGTTAGATTAAGCCTGTTCATGGACGGTATTGTCAGGTGCAACCTACCGTCCACGGCATCTAGCACCGGTATAAACATGAAATGGTAAAGTTTTGAATTTAGAAACATGCGCAGATGTGTTCATACGGCGGTAATTATGGAACTTTCAGTGTGACATTCCTGTGCCATGCCTTTGGCGTCGCGTCCTCCTAAAGTAATAGAAAGCATGTGCCCTAAACGAGAAAACAATGGGCGGAACTCAACAAAATGGAATTTTGAAAAGGGATCAGAAAACCTATTTCTCTGTTTTCCTCTTTTATCAGATTTGTTTACAAACACCATTTGGTCATTAAGAAACGCGTCTCGTTATTTGAGTGAAAGCATATGAATATATTTAATATTGTCATATGTTTCATGATTGTGAATTATGTTTTGAGGAAATACAATTGTTAAGATCCATCTATCAAAGAGGACTAGTGGACTAGTGGTGATCAAAGATAAACGGTTCAATGCATTTAATTGTGATAAGATTAGGAATAATATATAGGTAAGGTTGGAATAATAATAGACATCGCAAACATTAGACTGTGCGAATATGGATTAAAAGGATACACATAAAACGCATTCTGTTTTGACATAAAAAAAGTTTGTTATATAAGGGGTTAAGAAAATGTTATAAAAGGGAAATAAAATAAGAAATACGTTTTGTTCTATATAAAAACGATCATAATTTTTAATAGAAAAAGAAAGACGCTTAGTCTAGAAAACTTTTAATTAAATCTTTCAGCCGTTAAAGTTTTCTTTAAAGTGCTGGTAATTACCATTTTACATTACTCAATAGTTCCCTTCCAAGACGTTAGTTTAGACAAGTGTTGTAAATATGACTTAATAGACATATTTTTGTTCGAAAATCGAAGTAACTTCTTATTTTGCGAACATTTGAGAGAAATGATGCATTGACATATTCAAATTTTGATATAATTTACTCTGTTGAAATGCACAAAACATGTTTTTTTGC